GACTCTGTTGTCCCCTGCTGGACTCTGTTGTCCCAGGCTTGGGGTCCTCACCTAGCTTGCATCCTGCGTTCCCGTGAGGCGGTCCTTCTAGACCAGCAAGGACATCCTGTATTGACCCCGTCCACCATGCCCGCACAGTTACAGGAAGGGACGGTCAGGGGGTGAATCCAAAGCCTTGGGTGGGTGGGATGCGGATTTGCAGCCGTGGACGTGAACATTCCAGGATCAAGACGCTTTCATCTCTCTGCCTCGACACAGGGGAACGTTGGGGACGAGTTTCCGGGAGGGAGCAGCTTTCATCATTGTCCCTCCATCACCGACTGCGGAGGGAAGAAGGGCGCCGTGAGAGCCCACGGATCCCGGGCTTAGCGGCCAGGCCTTGTCCGGGCCCTGACGGGAACAGAGGGATCTGGACTGATTCCTACTAGGACCAGCAGGTTTCCGCCTCCGTGTTCTCCGTGAACTTGTCGGGGGGCGTGCTGTAGAGTCGTCAGAAGAGGAAGGAGAAGATAAAGATGAGCGTGAATCTGTAACGGGGCTAGGAATCGCTAAGGGAGACGTACTCAGAGTGCCCCCAGAGGTGCAGACCCGCGGAGTCGGGGCAGGTGAAAACGTGGTTGAGGTGGACACCCAGGAAGCCACGTGTCTGTGGGGCACAGTGTGAGGGTTCAGTACCGTCCATCCTGTGTCGGGTCTGCCCAGGGCAATGAGCGTCCCCACCTCGTTATGCTCTCCCTGTGCTGGGAGCCTGGCCCCCTCTGGTGGCCCCCTGAGCCTGGAACGCATTCTGTACAAGAGCCGGATGTGGTCTCCTGGCCGTGCCGTGGTCCCTGCTCCCCTCCCCGCTCTCCCATGTCCTCCTCCAGCCTCTGGTGGACACTCCTACTTCTTGCAGATGCCTTTTATCTGTGGGTGGGAACATGCGCCTTCGTCTTTCTGTGAATCAGGGCAATCATTTCAGAGACCCTCTCACATTCCTTCCTTTCCTTTTGTAAAGGGAGTGGATTTGCCCCCCTTGTCCTGGGCAGCCCGTAAGATGGCCTTTGCCTGCGTCCTGTAGCTGGGGTGTACCGAGGGAAGCCTGCAGAGCCCTGACTTGACCGTTAGGACGCCCGCGTGCTAATCGGGAATGGAGATGGACCTTACTGAGATGTTATTTGGAGGGAACTTGGACCTCGCAGTGGCCACTGGTCATTAGTTTATGGGTGACATTCTGGGTGCCTACAGACAAGCTGTTAGCTTCTCCTCCCTCCCTGGACTGTCCGAGAACCTCCGGGGCAGGGTGCAGAAAGACTCAGGGCTTCGAGAGTCAAACCTGTCACCCACAAGCCGTTAGAATTGAAGGAGGGTCTGGAGAGCCACTGGCCACAGCTGACACCTGAGGCACAACCGACAGAAGGTCAGTAACGGCTTGTTTCAGATGTAAAGACACCTCTGCTGTCGGTCGGCTGGGCGTCTCCCAGCTGAGCTGCGGGGTCCCCATCTCTGCCTGGTCTAGACTTTCTCCAGCCACGTAGCTGGTGAGTGGAGCCACCCAGGGTTTGAACGCAGTGTCCAGTCCAGAGCCGGGCTCCCGTACAGGTGTGTGCAGGGATGGATGCATCTGGATGTGGTTCTTGTCCTCTTTCCTTCCACCAGAGCAGGCTGGGAGCTTGGAGGGGCAGCCAAGGGTGAGGGCATCAGAATTGTGGCCAAGAGCCCAGGTGACCACTAGGAATGAGCAGTGCAGCCAGCTGTGGGCAGCGGCCCTCTCCTGCAGCCCCGGCACTGACCAGGACAAGGCCAAGGCACAGACATGCACTTGGGCCTCCCTCTGAGCGGGGTCCGGAGGCTTCTGCCGGCCCACCCTGGCAGTCCTCACCCACAGAGGCTGGCCTTGGAGGCCTGGCCTCTCTGAGTCCCACCTTTCTCACCTGCAGAAGGGAGGTGACTGAGGGAATCCCGTGGTAGCCTCACGAGCAGGACGACGCGGGAAGCACTTGGCACAGGAGCCACACGCAGCCTCCAGTTAAGGTCAGCTGTCCTTCTTACGAGTCTCCTAAGGAAAAGCTGCAGCCAAAGCACGTGAGCGTGGCCAAGTGTCACTGCTGGGAGAATTTGATGGTCAGGCCTAGGAGACGGTGGACATTCTCTCCCAGGCAGTCATGGGCGTACTGACTAAGCACAGGACAGGAGATGCCCTCTGGTCCCCTGAAATCAAACAGCGTGAGGGCCACGTGGGGGCACTGCCTGCAGACAGAGCACGTCAAGGCTGTCCTGCGTGAGCGAGCCCTGCTGCGGTGACCTCCCACGTTCTTACATAAGGAGATAAATGCTTCAATGAAAGGGACATTGATTTACACAGCCCCACAGGATGCACAGAGGTGGCTGGCGGAGGGAGAGAGGAAGGGTGTGCGGTGGGGGGGCTCACTCATAGTGAACAGCTTCTCTGGGGTGGGGGCTTGTGGTCTGTGCCCTGGAGGGAACCTCCTGCTGTGTCCGCACCTGTGATGGAGGTGACAGAGTCACCTCTAACGTCACTGAGCAGGTGAGCGGCCTGCACCTGCTGGCTCTGGTTTCAGGTCTTGCCTGGATCTTCCCGGTCCTTCATAGAATTTCAGCCCTCGGATACGGAGGCTGAATCTGATGCCTGAATTCCCTCAGACAGGGACAGCTTAACAGGACTGTCCGAGGGCAAAGCACCAGTTTTGATGATAAACAAGAGTAAATGATTGAAGATGTCCCATAACCAGTGAAATAGCAGGATATGGCATGAGTGGCCCACAGAGGTGGGTGGGTGGGGTGCCATAGGGCCTTTGGGGGTAGGCACAAAGAAGGGCAGAGGTGTGTGGAATGTTCCAGGGGCAGGATGGCATGACATTTTACATAGTGTACCGTGAAAGGACTGGAAGATTCTAAGCCCCACCAATGACGGTGAAGAGCGTGGCGGTGATACTCCAGTTACCTGCTCCCTCCCATGTTGATATGACATTAGAGAAGCACCCGAGGCACGCAGATAAAGCAGAGTTCATTAAAAAGGGGTAACACAGACTTCTCCCTGGAGGGGGAAGGGGGCCACATCTGGTATCCTGGTGTCCCCAGAAGCGAGGTGTTCTGCCTTTTTATGCGTCCTCGGCTTCCTTTGTTCTCCTGCCCTCTTCCCCTTCTCTCTCTTCTTCCTGCAGATGTGACTAGGCCCAGGGATGCTCCCTGGGATGGCCAAGAGGGTGGGAACCAGGGGGG